TGTCTAACCACTATGCTGTACACTTGAAACTGATATACTACTGAATGTCAAGTATAAGTCAAATAAATAAGTAAATAAATGCTGGAAACAGGGAAAGAAAGAAGACATACAAGAATGTCCATAGAAAAAGATGCTCAATAAAAAAATTATATTCTTAAGGCAACTGTTGCTAATATCACTCTATTTGTGAAACAGTTTTCATTCATACTAAACACTGTTTTAAAAATTATGGTGTCATTGGATTTCTTTAAACTGTCAAAGCATTAACAAAGAAATATGATTTTTTAAAGCTCTTTTCTTTTCTCCTCTTCTCTTCTCTTCTCTTCTCTTCTCTTCTCTTCTCTTCTCTTCTCTTCTCTTCTCTTCTCTTCTCTTCTCTTCTCTTCTCTTCTCTTCTCTTCTCTTCTCTTCTCTTTTGTGGTACATGCCCCTAGCGGGAACCGAACCCAGGACTCTCTGGTCCGCAGGCCGACACACAACCGTTGAGCCAAACTGGCCAGGGCTTAAAGCAGTTTTATAATAACCATACTCCAAAACCCTGTTTACTTGATCTACAACAGTCATACCTTTGACTTAGACGTCCTGAATTCCCAAGAAGTCTATTTTGCTATTTTCTAAGCACCATGACTTTGGGCAAATTACTCCGTATCTTGAATTCTTTGTTTTCTCACTTAAAAAAAAAGCCAAAGAATACCTCTCTTCCTACTGGGGGGTTCGCTTTGGGAGTTAAAGGAGACATGTACTTTGCAGACCATGTGAAAAGGCCAAGATTCAATACACTTCTGAGTGTGAAGACCGCAGATCCAAACTGAAGGCAAGGACTGCCGACCGAGGATTTTGGGGGGTGTGGGGAGAAGGTCTGAAGAATGAAAAGCTGCAAGAGCAGAAAGGTGACTGTCTCTGCCCACCCGCCATGAGTTAAGGACATGGTCAATGGTTGTAGTCAGCTGAAAACCAAAATTTTAAAAACAAGGTATAGCAGGAAATAACACACGAGGCGAGAAGGATGGGGGAACCAGAAGTTGGATGGGGTGAGGGAAGGAGGAAGGGTTTCCGTGTCCCTTTTCCCAACAACCAGGGGAGTGCACAGCAGAAGGAAGAGAGAGAGAAAGAAAACCAGTGCTGACCCTGCGAAAGAAGGAAGGAAAAGGAAAATGCTTTCAAGGAAAGTTTTAAGGAAAGGATCTGTTTTATAAACAACAGCTGCTCAGAAAAACTTTATGTAGAAGGGATGTTGATTAATAAATCAGAATGATTTCGAGACACGTACTGGCAGCGATTCAAATGCAGGGGGTGGGAGCCCGTGGGTTTCAGATCGGCAGAGACGCGGCTCTGTTTCGAAGATCCTGTCCGGAGAGCAAGCACAAGCCTTGTGGGAAGACCTCGGGAGAAGGCCAAGGCTACATTTTCTGACCATTTGCTTTAGGAAGGAAGAAGCAGATAGAGAAGGCATTGTGATATGCTTTAAAAAAAAATGTATTTGTGATTCCATTCAAAATTGGAGGACAATTTAGTAGACTTGACAAGGTCATGTGACTGGGAACTGGAAACCAATGTGGAGGTCAGGCTAGGAAAGCAGGTGGGGGAGGTGGTTGATGGGAGGGTGAACAGGCAGCATTAAGAGTTACGAAAGCCAAAAAAAAAAAAGAGCAAACCGTGCCCAGTGGTTTTTAGGATGTTATTCCAAATGGGGTCAGAGCAGGTGTTGTGGTTCGGAGTCAGTTCAGATCCAGGCAGGTACCCGGTGTTCGTGGAATTCCAGCCTTAGCCAGTAGGGAAGCAGGGCACAGGGATAGGAACTAGAGTCCCTGGGGGACTTGGGGTCCTAAGCAGGAGCCTTGTTTACAGAAGCACAGAGCAGGAGAGATCAATGTCGTGTGGGAGCAGCTCCAGCTGACGGGGTGCCGTCCCTTACCCTCTGGTGAGGGCCCCTCTTCTGGGCGAAGAAGGTAGGTCAGAGAGTTCACTGTGGCGCCGCCAGATTCTGTCCCAGCTGGGGTACACAGTACTGGACGGAAGGCAAGGGGACTTGGGGAGATTAAGAGAGCAATTGTAAGAGGAGAGGCAGAGATAACTGGAGTGGATCTTCTCATGTACAAAAAGAAAACATTAGCCCTGGCCAGGTTGCTCAGCTGGTTAGAGCGTTGCAGGTTCGATCCCCAGTCGGGGCACATATAAGAATCAATCAATGAAAGCATAAATAAGTGGAACAACAAATTGATTTCTCATTCTCTCTCTCTCAAATCAATATATAAAAATTAAAAACAAAAGCAAAAGGAAAACATTTTTGGAAGCAGTTTCATGCGGGGTATGGAAAGGTGGAAGTGGGGAGGGTAGGACGAGGGAGAGAAACAGGCTGGGTGTTCCACGAAGTGCCTCGCAGGTGTCATCTCAGCGTAAAGTCCCTGCAACCCTGCGGGGTGCAGACTCTTAGTCCCAGCTTACAGATGCGTGTTCAGGTTTCTCTCTATAGCTATTGGTAATAGCTGTGGCTAAACTTGGTTGCACACTCATTATGTAAAAGGCACTTTGCAGGTTCTCTCTTAATCCTTACAACAAAATAGGAAGTAGATGCTATTATTACTCTCTTTTCCAAGTGAGAAAACCAAGGCATGGAGAGAAGTCCTGGAACTTGCCCAAGGCCACACAAACAGAAAACGGCGGGAACCATGGTGCAAACCCAGGCAATCTGTCTCCAGAGCCCAGAATCCTAACCGCCATAATGAATAGCCTTGAATAAGTCAAAGTCAAGAGATAAATAGAGGGAAGATATACTCACAAAGATTTAGAAATGGGGAAGGAAACCTTCATCCAGAAAGGGGATTTGTATGTTTTATTTTTAGAGATAGGAGAAATTTCACTGATCATTTTAATAATAATGAAGATAATAATAACACAGTGAACATTTACTTAAGGCTTACTATGTGCCAGGCTGTTCTACTTGCTCTATATATTATCTCTTTAAATTTAAGGAAAATCTTTCTGTCTTATATTGAAATCACAGGACCTAGCAGATAGGAAGTGCTCAATAAATGTTTAGCAAATGCATCTTAAAAGTTGACTCTAGTTTTACTTTTAGGAAACTCTAGGTCATAGAGAAAAATCTCTCTCTCTTTTAAAAATTACCTTTCACCCTGGCCAGTTTGGCTCAGTGGTTAGAGCGTTGGCCTGTGGTCTGGAGAGACCCGGGGTCGGTTCCCGCTAAGGGCACGTACCTCGGTTGCAGTTTGTTCCTGGCCCTGGTTGGTCATGTGGGTGGCAACCACTCAATGTGTCCCTTTCACATCGATGTTTCTCTCTCTCTCTCTCTCTTTCTCTCTCTCTCTCTCCTTCCCACTCTATCTGAACAATATATATATATATATAAAAAAAATGTCCTCAGGTGAGGATAAAAAAAAAATTACCTTTCAGCTATTATCTTTGTCTGAAATTATCCTGTTGTTTCCTCCCTTGTTTATTATCTCCCTTCTCTCTCCATTAGCATGTAAACTCCAGGATGTAGACCCTCACTCAACTTGTCCAGCTCTATACTTGCAGCATCTGGAACAATGCCTTGGGCGTGGAAGGCGAGTAATCAATATTTGCTGTATGAATGAAAGAAGAGAACCCAGTATTTCAGCCTTTCAGAACAACTCTTCTTCCACTGTGGCACACTGAATTACAGTGCAGGGAGGTCGGCTGCTTGTATGCTGTTACAACATCTGTGTGTCTGTTCTCAAGGGGCACCTGCTCCCTTTCTCCATAACTGACTCAACTATTCATTTACCCAGGCAGGCTTTGTTGTGGAGAAAGAAGGAAAAATTTCTTGTTCTGTTTTTAACACATAAGCAGAGATCATCACAAAGGTGATCAAATGATCTATGCATAAAAATGACTGCTTCACCTTATGTCCTCTAAGATGTGACCTTAATAAATAAAAAAGTGGTTCAGATGGTAAATTTTGTTATGCGATTTTTTTGTTTTTAAATCCTCACCTGAGGATATTTTTTTTCATTTACCTTCAGATAAAGTGGGAGGGAAGTGGGAGAGGGAGAAACATCGATGTGAGAGAGACACATCAACTGGCTGCCTCCCGCAGGAACCTGACCAGGGCTGGGGACAAACCACAACCGAGGTACGTGCCCTTGATCAGAATTGAACCTGTGACTCACTGGTCCGCGGGCCGACGCTCTAACCACTGAGCCAAACTGGCCAGGGCTGTTATGTGATTTTTTTTTTTTTTTTTTTTTACAATTAAAAAGATTAGACTAAATGGGGTGAGGGGGAAGGGGTGGCTCTTGGTAATATGACATATACCTCATTTTAAAGGATCAAGATCCTAAAGTGAGTGGTTCCTTTAAGTCAAATGAAAACACAGAGTATGTAGAAAGGAATAGGGGTGTAAGACTAAGCAGGAATGGTTACCACTATAAACCTTCAGAGACAAGGAGGGATTAAGCATAGTTTGTGGTTTTGGACTTTTTTTTTAAGCCTCACCTGAGGACATGCTTAGGAGGAGGAGGAGGAGGAGGAGGAGGAGGAGGAGGAGGAGGAGGAGGAAGAAGAAGAAGAAGAAGAAGAAGAAGAAGAAGAAGAAGAAGAAGAAGGAAGAGAGAGAGAGAGAGAGAAAGAGGAAGAGAGGGAGAGAGAATCATTGCTATAATAGATAAACATTGATCGGTTGGCTTTTGTACATACCTCAACTGGAATTGAACCCGCAACCCAGCTATGTACCCTGACCAGGAATCAAACAAGCAACATTTCTGTGCATGGGACACCTAATCAAATGAGTCACTCCAGCCAGCTGGGCTTGTTTTGGATTTATGATGGTTGGTATTGCAAATAACACTTTCTTTGATGGCTTTTTAATGTAATGTATATTCTTAAGCACTTTACACAAACCACTATAGAGATGTAGGACTCTGGAGCCTGTGATGTTTGCAAAGTCAGACGGATCAGAGCAGGTTGTGAGAGATAACCCTGCTCTGAAGTCTCTATGACCCAATCCCACAGACACTCACCTGTCTACACGAAGTTGGCAGACAATACTTAGTGGATCGACAACTCCTTCTTCTTTCAACTGTCGACAGCCAATGGATGTAGCAATAAAACACCCCGTTCTACCTATCCCTGCACTGAAAAGAAAGGACAAAGAATAAAAAAGTGGAAGAAAAATAGCAAAGATAAAAATACATACTTTAAAAAGATACTATTAAATTGGAAACAACAGCTGGGATGAATAACAATAGCAACAATAACGACAGCTCTCATACACGGTGGATTACAACCTGGGCTCTGTGCTAGGTGCTCAAACACATGCTCTCCTTTTGTTACACGCAGTAAGATGAGTGGGGTGGAGGGAGGTATTGGGTGGGGAGAATAGTGGAAAAGGCACCGTAACTGTTCTGCAAAGAACAATGAGGGCCTGAATTTAGGAAAAGTATGGGCACTAGAAAGGAGGGGGGAGTCTTAGACATATCACAAGCGTGAGTCTGAAGGACTGGAGTTCAACAGGTAGAGAAGCCGAAAGTCAAAGATGACCAGGACTGGAAGAAGGATAGTCCCAATGCGACAAAGTGGAATTCTGAAATGAGAGCTGATTTGAGGGAGGGTTTGGTCTTGGATACACTGATGTTGAAGATTCCAGTGAACAACTGAAGATTCAATTCAGTTTAGGAGAGAGGAGGTGGCTAGAGGCGCGTATTTCCAAGTCATTTATAGTTGAATAGAAACACGATCTAGGAGGGTTCACCCACTCACCTGCCTTAGACAGTATGTCATCACCTAACAAGACCTCTCTCTCTCTCTCATTTCAACCACTAATAGTCTTTGTATAAATTTCTCTTAAACCTACATTTGTATTCCCTAATTTTTAAAAAATATGTCAGAAGTGGAAAAATCCACCCTGTTTACTAGCAAAGGGTGAACAGAAAGCTACTACTATTTCTCTAGGACATTTACAAAGAGTTTTCTTCACTTTAAGAAGAAACTGATTAAAGTAGATGTCCACTTATATTCCCTAACTTTCTCCTAAACTCTAGATCGGATTCCATCTCCTCAATGGGACTCTTGATGTTACTATTTTGTACTCGCTTCAGTTCAATGGATCTGAAACAGAATTGGCTCTTTTCCATCAAGGTCATGACCAATCAGCCACAAGTTTTCCAGCCTAGAAATCTTGGAGGCATCTTCAACATCTCTCCCTCTCACCTCCTACATCTAATCTGCTACCAATTCTTGTATTTTACACCTTTACTGAGCTTTTAGGATCCTTGCTTTCCTTTCTATAGTCTGTGCTCACATTTTTGACATCTTCTTACTTCATGATTAGCAATGATCTCATTATAGTTCCCAAGTCTTCAGTCTTCTCCTGGACTAATTCACAACACACACGGCTGCTGGGGACCTGACCATGTTACCTCTACTCAAAACTGTAGATGGCTCCCAATAGTTATAGCACAGTTAAGCTCTCCAGCATGGTATTTGTAACCTTGAATAATACAAATGTGACTAACTTTCAAGGTTTATGTCTTTTTACTGAACTCCTTGTACCCTTTGTGCCATTTTTTCATTTACATGAATCATCGCAAAAAATGCCTTCCATTTTCCAATTTTCCCTTCTGTGTTGATGATACTCCTTCAGTCAAAAATGTCCTCCCAATCACCTTTTAAAACCACAAATATTGGTCATGTTTAAAGATCCTTTTCAATATTATTCCAGTGTTTAGAGGTTTCCTTCTATCTTTCTGGTTTGAATGAATAGCTCTGCTCTTGGCACTCAAATAGCAATTATTTCTCCTATTTTGGACTTGTTTTTGTTGCATGTGAGTGCAAAGGGATTCTGAAGTAGAATGAGTCCCTTTTAGTTGAAGTGTCTACAGAGAGTTTGCTTCATTAAAGAGACGGGATCTGAAGTGTACCATATGAATGGCAGGCATTTAGGTTATCAGGAGTGAGAGGGGTTTAAGGAGAGAATTGCTACAGAACAGGATTTATGATGTGTGACAATGAGTAGACAAGCTTGGCTTGAAGAAACAATTATTGTAGAGAAACAGTGGGAAATAAAACTGTGAGGACGATAAAGGGTTTCACATGGAAAGCTAAGAAATTTGGACTTTATCCTCTACAACTTTTTTTTTTTTTTTTTTCAGAATTTGATGAAAACTAGAAAGTTTCACTTCCCAGAAGAAGTCAGTTTCAGTGCGCAAATTTGCTTAAGTGATTTCAAGGGGTTCCCTGACTCCTGTAGCTCAGCCATAGACCCTGGGCTTCGAACTTTTGCTCTAGGCAATGGGAAGCCATCGAGAAATTCTGAGCAGGGACTCCATGTGATGAAAGAGGGTTTTAAGAGCATCATCAGAGAAGTGCACTGGGTAGGCCATAGTCGTGGTGGGCATGGGGAACAGGGTGTGTGTGTGTGTGTGTGTGTGTGTGTGCAATTAGCTGACTACTTCTAAAATATACAAATGAGGTCATAAGGGCCTGAACTTGGGTGGTTGAACAGGGAGTAAAGATTATGAGAGCTTTGAAGGGAAAGCCAATCTGGTGACTGATTAGATACTGAGGCTGGAATTAAGAGAAGGGCCAAGGATAACTGTCCATGTTAGAGGCTGGGTGCCTGGAAAAAAGATGGTCTCACCCTTAGAAATACTAATCAGAAAGGGAGCTGGTGTTATAGCGGAAGTGGCTAGTTTATTTGAGATATCCTGAGTGTTTTATGATTTGGGGTGGGGGATAGTTCCAGCCCTAAAGGATCACCATTTAAGTTGTTTTTCCTCAGCCCCAAGCTAAGTTCAGGATAAGGCTTAATGCTAAAAACTGGATAATGATGCCTTTCAAAAGGTAGACATATAGGAAAATTTTACTTTTAATTAAACCACCAAGGTTCAAAAAAGAAGGCTAAATTACCATCTAAAATAATGTATTTTGCTTATTAAAGAGATCATCAAAAGCTATCTTATAAGACGTATGATGTTAAATGAAACAATTCAAATTACAGTATTTTGAGAAAGCATGAAGGATAAATGGCTAGTTATTGAAATAACTTTAAAAATACTTGCTTTCACTTGGGCACACTAAAAGGAAAACAAGGGGATGAGGTATCGGTTGTGAGAGGAGAGCTATAAGCCAGACATTAGGGAAAACCACCAGAGACACCTGTTACTGTTGGCTTACCCTCTAGTAACACAGGTTCTGCTAACAGCACTTTGTTTTCCTTTTGGGGAACTACCACTTGCCAACGTACCATTTTATAATTTATTTCCATCTGTTTTTCATGAAATCACTTTTAAAATAGTCGTATGGTTTTCACCAAATGTGAAATAATAATAAATGTTACCAAAATACAATTCAAGTATAATTCGGGTACATTCTTGAAACAACAAAAAAAGGAAGCAATACTTAAAAAGTCATATTTGTCATTCCTGGTATATATTAGACTGAATCAAAATGAGTTTCAAGTATTTCCTCCACTGTGTAATTGTCTGCTGAAAATGTCCTAATATCGTCACTGTAAATATCATCTTAATCGAGACTTAAATATTAGGAAGTTAACCAATTCCAACAAACATTTACTCACAAAGTCACAGCTAAAAAGTAAAATCCCACTTCTCTCTGCTCCACGACGTTACAAAGCATGGACAGCTGGCGTAGGCAGAAAGGGGAGCTCATGTCTTACCTGCAGTGGACAACCACAGGCCCTCGGCCTGCAGAAGCAAGTCTGTCTTCTTCCACATCCAGCATGAGTTGTAGAAGGGGCTGGGCACTGTCTGGAGTCTTGTGATCGGGCCATGAGGTGTACCAGTAATGCTTCACATGTTGGGTGTGACTTCCTTGCTGAAAATAGCAACAGCCGCCAAATGCTTCATTTACTAAAAGTCATCCAAACCACAATACTGCATGCCCTCCAGCATTCCCATCTTGCTGGCAACTTATTTCTAGGTGGGGAAAATATCTAGGAGATTTTTTAAGAATAACCCTTCACTTGAGCAAACTTTCCTGTAAATACCCTGATATCAAAGTCTGACAGTCTTGCCTCTATGAAAGGACACACAACGCAATGAACAGATGCACGTGAAACCTATCCAACTTTATTACCCCGTGTCACGCCAACAAAATTAATTTTAAAAATCTATAAAAGAAAATAAAGCAGAAAAAAATAAATGAGAATATATATTTAATAATATATATATTATGTTATATATGTAACATCTGTTCAATATATGTTTGTAATTTACTACAATAAACAAAATGGTAGAGGAAATGGTAGAGGAAAATAGTAGAGGAAAACGTAGCCAAAAAAAAAAAAAAAGGATTGGGAGATAGGGTGTTTCCTGCTTGACAGGTTGCTACAAATGTATCAACCAGTATAAAACCACAATTTTATATCCAGTCACTCTAATTAGCCTACACTCATCCCAAATTCTGGTTTTTAAGAGCAGTGAGACATTCCGGTAGTAGAGAGGCTCCAGGGGTCACTAGATTAGCAACGCTTTGAGTGAGGGGCCACGCACGTCATCTCAAAACTCAGTGCCCGTTTGGGTCCTGGCAAGAATAGGCACTTAGGTTTTGGTAAGTGCCTTCCTATCCCCAGTTTCCCATGAAAAACCACCAGTGCAGCTCTGCTCCTACTCTCTGTGATGAGTATGTCCCAGCAGCGAGGCTCCAGAAAAGACTAAAATCTTTGAGACGACTGTTCTCTGGAAGCAGAAACGATACCATGGCAACGTCCCTCAGTATCTGCTGCCCATAAGTTAAATAAGATCCTTTTCCTCTGATGCAATCTGGACTCAGGGAAGTCCCGATAAATTACTGTCACTCCAGGTGTTGAAGGTCTCATCAACACTTCAGGCTTGTCTCACCTGCCACCGTCCCCCACAAGCACAGATTTTCTCTGTCACCGTTTCCAGGTCTTACTGGAAGCCACGTACACCACAGTGACTTCAAAAAACATCATGGTCAATTCTCCAGAACAAGCCTTTAGTTAAAGGCATTCAAAAGGTTAACTCAAGAGATCTTTTATTTATGCAAATTAGAAGATCATAACATCCTACTTAGTGAATTTCCTGAATATCTACTTATTTAATGATTCCATATATTGATAGTAGCTGACTACAAAGAAATTACAATTTCTATTTCATCTTAACATTATTTAATTGGTGTCAATTAAATCTGTAGTACTTATTAGGATGATAATTTCAAAGTAGAAATTGTTTTCCTCTAGTATCATCTACTTTGTAGCCATGTAATCTTACCTTTAAGACGAGATTTCGAACAGTATAGTTATCACATTCATTTACGTTGATAACCAGAACCTCAACTTTCCCATATATTCCTCTCTTTTCGGGCCAGTATAGCACACATTTCTGATGGAGGAGAAAGAAGAACACAGCAAATATTAATGATGTTCACTGGCCTCATCTTAAAAGCATCTTAAGAGCTTTTATTTAGTTTAAAAAATCAAGTATCAATTTCTACAATTTTTGTGAATGTACTAAAACCACTGAATTATACATATACATAAAAACAGGTGATTTTTATGGGATATAAATTACATCTCAATAAGCTTGTTTTTTAAATAAAGTATCAAGTTTTGCATATTCTTGCCAAACACTGTCACTACTAATTCCATGCCTAAAAACAAGGGTAGAATTTCCCAAACCTCCACAGAGAAATTAAGAACTAAATAAGATCTTAATTAGGAGTTTTGCAAATAATATCCAAATATTAGAGTTTATCATGTAAAGACTAGAAATAAAAGAAATGTTTTCTTACAATAATTTAGGCAAGTTACACTTTCCTGCTTCATCAAGAGAAGTGTCTAGTGAGAGTCTCTGTAATGTGTTAGATGCCACAGGATGGAGTTTCTCTTGATGGAAAGAAGCTGTAATGATAGTTAATGCCTGTGTGGAAGTATATTTCTCAGGACCAATGGTCTTTTCACCTATGGGGTCCATTACAATAGATGTATAACAAAATTATCTTTAAATATTTTTATAATGGACCCTCTTTGAAGGGCTTAATAACAGGAATAATAATCATATTGCAAACAAGAAATATAATATGGTGGTTAGGGTGCAGGCTTTGGGGTCAGAGACCCTGGGTTCACATTTTGGCTTGACCACTTATTAGCTGTGACTCCATAAACAAGATACTCAACCTCCCTGTCTCCGTTTCCTCATGATTTACTATATGGAAAGCACTCAGGACCAAGTCAGGCATACAAAAAGCGCTCAAAACATGTTGTTGTTATTTTTATTATTGTTGTTATTATTATATTTTACAATTACTGGGCTCTGTAGTTTCTAAAGTGATTATTTCATTAATTATGCATTAGATCATGCATTAAATATTATATTATTATATTCAAGTCATACTATTAAAAAAACTGCAAAATGAGATTCAAGCACACATTATTTATTATTTTGCCTTTTAACAAACTGTAAAAGATCTATTACCTTTTTTACCACATATTTTAATGATTAAGAAAGTAAAATGTGACAGTTGAGGTTTTATTGTCAACGCTAGGAAAGCAATGTTAATTTTAGGAGTATAGTTTAAATAGCACTTATTTTCTCCCAGACACACATGTGCACTGATAGGGACATTCCTTCACTTGTCGCCTGCAATGGGGCCCCTTTAGTGTTCGGGACACTTGTTTCTTCACATTTATGTCAAAGGCATATGAACATACTTGAAAAAAAAATTAAGAACTCATCATTCAAAAGCACAACGAAAGAATCACATAGTTACAGAATTAAAGGAAAAGACGTGCAAAGTATCAGAAACACACCCCTGGCATTCTGTCATGCTAAGTACTAACTATTCCATAAGCTAGAGTCACGATAACGTCACTTTACCTGGCTGACTCACTGCTTCTTTCATCCGTTACTATAAAAACTCATTTGCATCCTCAATACTCTGGTCTCTTTTCCAGAGTGAATCATTTTCACCTCTATTTACATGCAATCCTACTCCCAAAGCAGTCAGGCAATCAGGCTAAAGGCTTACTCTGGCTGATATAACATTAACATTAAGGGGGGGGGACTTAAAGAGCAATTTATTTCCCTCATTTATAAGTTGTCTAATGTCTACAATTTCCCCAGTTTGTTAAAGATAATCATACTAACCACTATGTGTGGCCTCTTTCAATGGAGCATCAATTATTTTGCTGCAGGACCCAAGCTATTGTGTATCTTACAGCCCCTGCCTCTGGGATGAATCCAAGAAGAGACAAAGAATCTTGAACACAGTACTGAAGAAAGAAAGAAGCATTCAGTGGTCCAGCAGGATGGCATGCGTGCCCCATTGTCCACGATCAGGACGAGCAGCAGCCTCCTCTTTGGGAAGGTGGTTCTCAAAACCCGCAGGAAAAGCTTCAAGGCCTGAGTTCACGCCTACACCCGGACTCCCAACCATCCTTGAACAGGCTTGTGCTCCTACTGATCACTTCTCTCCCAAGCTTGCCGGGGCCTCATAAATGTTTTTCTTGACTCTTTACCAAAAATGCAATTGTCAGCCAGCTCCCAGTAGACAATGCAATATGACTTGTTCATTCAAAGAACCCTTAATTAGCATCCCATCTCCTTTCTGTGATAACAATAGCTTATTCTTACATACTGAATATGCCTGCCTGCCCCCCTTAGGAGAATGTAGAAAAAGAGACCAGATAAGTGTGGGTGGTTTTGAATATGAGGTGGGGGATCTGCAAATGTAGTTGTTTCTAAGAGCACAAGTTCACGTTTAAATTACTTTTATGAAGAGCTTTTTAGGGTTTCTCCTAAACAGTGGTATGAGAGAGGCAGAAATTGCAAGGAAGGAAATGGCTCTATTACAGATAATATTGTGAAACTACACTGATTGTAGGTAATCTGAACTAGCATGCTATCTAGCAGAATATAACCCCAAATCATCACTGTTCTTCTGCTAACTGGACTGATACTTTCAGCAACATTATCTATTAATTCCAAGAATTTATGATTTGGAGGGGAAAAAAAGGTTTTCAGAGGGTCATGTGTCTCTTGTGCAAACAAGTAATTAGCAAACTGTGACTATAAAGATTCTGGACATCAACCAGTTCTTCATAATCAGTAGTTCATAGCCAAAGAAGAATGCAATGCAAACTCTATTTTTATATTCTTTTTTTCTTTGACCCTCCCTCTCGTCCCTACCACGTTAGAGCTATTTGTGTATAAAGATGAAGGAGGTCTAGCTAGTAGTTTAGTGGCCTGAAAAAAAAATATTTTCTAAAATTATTTTCTTTTTAAATTCTATGCATTTAAAATCAAAGAGATTTTGCTCTATGAGCTAAAGACATGTGTCATCACATAGAGAGTGACTCTAAATAAATAAGATGGACAGTTTCATTTGGAAACATTAGCACATGAGAGGAACAGAATGGGTCAGATTGTTTACTATTATTTACTATTGTTACTCTTATTCATGGTGTTCCAACTGAATATTACTAACATAGGCACAGCAATTTAATATAAAGGTAACTTCACCAAGAAATCATTTAATCCCATTTACAATCATTTGAGTTAGGTAGAGCAGAGAGCAAGTATTATTATTATTATTACATCATTTTACAACAGAGGAAATTAAAACCCAGATTTTTTGCGCCCTGGCCAGTTTGGCTCAGCAGTTAGAGCATCAGCCTGCGGTCCAGAAGGACCCGGGTTTGGTTCCTGCTAAGGGCACGTACCTCGGTTGCACTTTGTCCCCGGCCCTGGTTGGGTCGTGCGGGTGGCAACCACTCGATGTGTCCCTTTCATGTCGATATTTCTCTCTCTCTCTCCCTCTCACTCTATCTGAACAAAAAATGAAAAAATATCCTTGGGTGAGGATAAAAGAAACCCAGATGTTTTGCTAGGGGTCTTTGGTAAAGTTCCCTTGGGAGCTAGGACCCTCTGAGCAAATATCACTTTATAAATTCAACTTGTCCAATCTCCATCTCTTATCTGTACATTTGTCTAAAGCTCCAGACATTTATTTCTAGCCACTTAGTAGACTTACCATCCAAAGGTCTCCAGGAGTCCTCAAACTTAACATGTGGAAACAGAACTCCCTTTCTTCTCCCACAAATCCTCCCAAATCCTCCCCTTGCTGTCATCTAGGTTCATGACATCACCCTCCACTCTGTCTCTCAGCCAGACATCCCGAAATCAAACTCTCCCTTAATTCCCCCACATTCCATCAGAAACTAAGTGCTGTGTCTTCGATCACTGGAACTTTTGAATCTGTTCCCTTTTCTCCCACTGCTTTAATGCTGTACCTCATTATCTCTCACCCGGCCCGTTGCTGCAACTGCGAACCGTTGTCCCTGCTTCCTCAAGTCCAAATCCTGTGTCCCGACACCCATTACTTTCCTGACACGCAAATTGCATTATTTCAAAACATCATCGTGGCTCCCTGAAGCCCAAAGGTTTTTTTTTTTTGTTTTCTTTTAGCATAGAACTATATTCTTTGGCACAACTTAACATTCCAGTGTCATCTCCCTTCACGTCCTGCTATACTACACTCAAGCCACACCAAACTGCTCAACCACGCAGGCCACGTGGTTTCCTGTCCGCCTTCCTAAGCCCTGCCGTGTTTTCCTTGTGCTCCTACCCACCCTTCAGGACCCTAGCAAAACGCAGCGAGGCTTTGTGTGGTCTACTTGGCCAGATAATGTAATAAAAATTAATCTTTTCTACAATTTTATCAGATGGAGAAAGGAAGGGAATGAAAGAAGGGAAAACTTAAAATATTGTTGTTGTTTTTTTTCCATATGGCTTTTTAAGATCAAACTGTTTGCAAAGTGCTGACTGGGTCAGTCAATGGGTTAAATGAGATTTATAAGTAAAGTCACGTGGTGAGCTCACACGAAGGATGCATGTAAATACAGAGGAAGAAGGCGGCTGTGTGTCCTTGAGAGAAGTATTGTGTTTAAGCCAAATCATCAAATGACTGCCTCACTTTATGAAAGATCAGTTTGGTACTCTCCTGCTCTTTGAAGCCAACAGTGGGTTGCTTGCTTTCGAATGTCTTATATCATTATTTGGTGTGTTATGTTGGGGCAATAATTCAGTGCATGAGCTTTGGAATCAAACAAGTCTGGATGAAAATTTGGCCTCCATCACTCATTACTTTGAGGCTTTAGGCAAATGGCTTAACCTCTCTGAGTTTCTGGTTTCTCATCCGTAACGGGGATAGCATAACCTACTTTGTGGAGTTAAGAGTGAAATAACTGAATTAATGCATGCACTGTGCTTAGCACATACTTTCAACAAATGGTAATGGGTAGAAAATATCTTCCACAGTACAGGTAATATGGTCATTTACAGCTACTTTTCTCTTTCTTAGAAAGGGATGAGAGAGGACCCAAGTGACTCCCAGAGGTGGTCTGAGGGTTTTGGAAATGCACAAATGCTGACCCCACATTCGGACTGACCCAACTCCAGCTTTGCAACAACAGTTTATGTTCAAAAGAGTCTGACAACGTGTTTTTAATGTTCTCTTTTTTTCAGGAGGAACTCCCTTCTTGTGAATTATCTGAATGAAGGAACTCAATACAATCGCAATACAACTGATCTTTCAGCTTCATTTAGGAAGTTCTCGTTTATACTCGTTTTTATAAAAAATAACTATGAGAATACTGGGATTATTAAATGAGAAGTGAAAATTGTTCATTTATTTATTTATTAGAAAGTAGAAAGGTTCATGAAAATATAAAGCCTGGGAATTTCTAAAGAGAACTCCACCTTCATTTTTTTGGGAGGAAATGATTTTTGTCTATTCTAAACAATGACGCTTAACACAATTGAAAGTTGGCACATTTTTGGTAAACAGCATTTTCCTGGTAGTGTAAAGTCTACTGAGTTTTTCTTTTGAGTCAGACTTCTCAGTCTCATTTTGATCTGTAAAACATCAAAAGTTTCCTCTATTGTATTATAGTTACATCTTCGGAGAGTTTGGATAGAAAGGAAGTTTTATTTTAATTTAATGAATAATCAACAACAAAAAAGTCAAAATTTTTACTGAACTATTTGGGGTTATGACTGGTTACAGGACAACACACATAGAAAATTCCACATAGAAAACATAATTTATTTAACTTTGATATTTCCAGAAGTTATATCCCAGACATTTAGAAAGACAAGAGGCTAAAAATGGTAGGAAAAGAAAACCTTTCCAGTTGCTAAATCTAGTCAAAGAGAAACATAAAAACCTCAATAACCCTTTACTGTGGTCTTTATTTTTATTTTTTTTTTAAGTCTAGCTTTTGCCCTGGCTGGTCTGGCTCAGCGGTTGGAGTGTCGGCCTGTGGACCAGAGAGTCCTGGGTTCAGTTCCCGCTAGGGTCACGTACCAAAAAAAAAAAGAAAGAAAGAAACCTAGCTTTCCACAGATGCACATGACTTTCCTACGGGGAATGTGAACTCTGAGAGTGGTACTAATAGGTCGTTCCAACTATGATGACGTTGGGATAGAAAGGACAAGAGGTGCCCTCCTCCTTTCCAAACTCCGAAGGGAGAGTTCTAAGCATCATCCATGAACTAACTCGGTGTCACACTGAAATACAGATTTATCTCATGAGCACTTCTGTTAGAATGACAACCTTGGTCTTGGGGACAAAGAGGAGCTGGGGCTTTGGCTTATTCTCCAATTGCTCGTATCATCCTTACTAGACAGCAAAACATGTCACATATTACTCAACCTCCAGGAAATGCTTTCTGACCAACAATCTTAGCTGCTTCTATCTTGATGAAAGAAATCCTGGCTCAAGAAGAAGTTAACCAAAGACATCTTTCTGACTTTTTCTATAAACATGAACAAATGCTTCACAAGATTCGAGGATTGAAATGCTCAAGATGACAAATTATGATTTAGTGTACAGTTACTACAACCTGTTCTGTAATCCTGTGAGATACTGTTTCACATGAGTCTTGCCAAGTGTTAATCCTTAATAAATATGCAACATTGACAAGTTAAGACATTTTTCCTGTGGGAAATAGAATTGATTTGTTTCAAAATATTTACATACCTAAACTCACGTAATTACATACCATTATAGTGCTTTGTTGGTGTTCATAATTTATGGTTTTATTTTCATTGAAGAGGAAATAGAATTAGTAAGGGTATGAATGAACTTTGAGAAAACACATTGTGGCAATGTATTGAGAAAATTATAATTAAAACATAGTGGGCAGGGGTAATGCATTTTACTCAGATCTAGGAAATGTTGCAAAATTCTAAATTCTGGGTTGTCAGTTATTTTCTTTTATCCCTCTGTAGGTATTATTCAACAGGTTTTTGTCTTCTATTGTTGCAATTGAGACACCATTATCAGTTACTCTGGTTGTTAAATTGTTTCTGTTCAGTTCCACAGAAGTGTCTAGTTGTAGATTTATTTTGAATTATCCAGCCTAGGATTTACTGTGCTTTTCAAATTTGAGAGCTCATGTCTTTCATCAGTTTTGGGACACCCCTAGCCATCATTCCCTCAAATACTACTTCTTTTTTATATTCTCCCTTTTTCGTCTTCCCAAACATCCATTAGACAGACATAGACTGGACATTTAAATATTGTCCTTTCTGTATTTGTCAACTCTCTTTCATATTTTGGTCATTTTGAGCTTCTAGGTAATTTCCTTAGCTCAATTTTTTAATCCAGTAATTATTCAGCCATGTCCAGCCTACTATTAAACCTGCCTAATGAGGTTTTAATGTTCATAATAGTGTCTATATAATAATTATTTTTTAGGACTCTTTGTTTTAAAATTCTGTCTAGTCTCTTTTGATATTATCTTGTTCTTTTTCATTCAAGTTTATTATTTTATATTTGTGTATTTAATTATGAAAAAAACAGTTTATACTGTATAGTTTCTATTATTCAATTTTTTGTGGATCTACTACTATTTGTTGCTCCTTCTGATTTTTCTTTATGTTTCTTACTTGTGTGTCTCATAATTTTGACTTAGGAGTTGATATTCAGTTGGCCTTTTTCTGGGGAAATTCTGTAAAATAGATACTGAGAGTGTTTGCATCCAAAACATTTTGCCTTTGTTTCTATAAAGTACCACAGAGCATTACCAACCCAATATTACTTCTTATATGAATTATTCCACTTGGTATTTCCTGGCTTTTAAATTCTAAATACTCAAGAGAACCTTTTTATTTATCCTAAGAGAAGCGAGGACTAGGATAGATTAATTTCCTATTATAGTCCTACTTTGGTAGTGGGTTTATTTCTGTGGTTCACCTTTTCACCGAAGGCACAGCCCTTGCGGGAGCTCACTTAATGGAAGGCCTCAGTTCTAACTCCTGGCTTCTGCGAGTTATAGGCTTTGTCTCCATTTCTTGTATTGTCATTAAAACACATGTGACCTGCAATCCTCTGGTTTCATTCCTTTTTTTCTGTTTTTTTTTTTTTTTTTATTCTCACCCGAGGACATTTTTCCATTCTTTGTTCAGGTAGAGTGGGAGGGAGAAAGAGAAACAGAGAGAGAGAGAGAAACATCGACGTGAAAGGAACACATAGAGTGGCTGCCACCCGCACAACCGACCAGGGCCAGGGACAAACTGCAACCGAGGTACGCGCCCTTAGCGGGAACCGAACCCGGGTCTCTCAGGACCGCAGGCTGACGCTCTAACCGCTGAACCAAACCGGCCAGGGCCTTTTTTTCTGTTTTTAACTGCTGGGATTTCCTTTACATTTTTTTTTAGACTCTGCTATACCTAATATTGCGTATTTTACCAAGTATAGCCGATTTAGCAATGGAAAGTTTTTCAGGTTATCTAGCCTGCCGCATTACCTAAGTTCTGTAGATGGGTACACAAAGAGCACACCTTTTAACTTTGAAGAATCTTTTTCTACCATGAAGGTAAACTGTCACAAATACTAAACAACTGTGCCGAAATTGTCAGTGGCTTAATATGTTTCATAGATTGAGAGTGGGTAAAACAGCTGAGAATATTGTGGGTTATTTTTATTATGCAACCTCAGGCTTTCATATAACATTAATAAAAATGCATTTATTCAGCAAACCATGTAGTTAATTAAGTATATACCTTCATCTACTGGTCAAAAACATACTTTTTTTTTCCAAAATAAATTTCACAGAAAAATCCTTCATTTATTGTAGTAAAAATGGAATAGAACAACAAACTTTAAGCAAAACTTATAAATTATTCCTGTGAGCCGGGATTTTCTTGCCTAGCAGTGGGATTATATTATACTCAGCGTTACAACTCATCAAAGTGGTAGCAGGGAAAATTCAGTTTTTTTGAATTCTTATTGTCACGGGAAAGCCCTAATGTAGTACTTCTGACAAGAAAACAAATACAAAAGCTGACTAAAATAAGACTAAACTATGACAACAAGGGGACAAGATGCCCTAAAATGTAAGCAGTACCTAGGACAGCACCCTTTGGGAACTACACAATTTTGTTTATCTGAGGCAAAATACAGAGGAGTATTCTGTCTGTAAGCTAGATCCTTAGAAAAGATGACTAGTATGGAAATAGTTTTTTGTCTTGTCCTTGGACTTCTTATTGTAAAGATATTGAGAAATTTGCTCCGTGTTTATAACTTCCTTCAAATCTTTCTTCAAATCTCACTCTCAGTGGGGCTCACCCCACGCACGCCATCTAACACTGCAGGTGACTTTTCTTTCTCAGCCCCTCCCTACAGCTAAGCACACCCTCGTCTACTTTCTCCCCTATAGTATTTATCCCTTCTGAGATTTTTATGAATGTATTATGTTTATTGTTTTTTTGTCTCTCCTGCCAACCCCAAGAAAGTTAAAATCTTTCAAGGGCAGTGATTTTTGTGTGTTTTGTTTACTAATATATTGCCAACAACTAAAATAGTACCTGTCACATAGTAGGTACAAAAATGACTTGAGATACAAATGAATATTTTTTTTATTTTGCTGCTTCTAAGTTAAGGTGAGAATGCATGGTCCATTTTCTTACTGAGACATGTGGATATGTGTGAGAAATGTGTATTCAATATATACTGGTTTATCTGAAAGAAAGTCGTCATCCATAGAATACCAGCAATTACCATTTTGGGACGCATGAAGTGACCTACCATTTAAATGTCTTCCAAGTTTCCATCTTAAATCTGTTATGAGGTACACGGCAATTTTTCTTACACAACATGTCTTCTATAGCAACAGAAAATATATAACATTTAGTACTTGGGTAAAGCCATACCTCATTTTTTTCTTTGAGTTTGGTGATCATAACAATCACGGGACTATCTTCCTGCCAAACCATCTGCCAGAAATCATTCACGGTGTTGATCATGGGGCCCTGCGTGGCGATGAACGCTTTCTCTTTGCCACTGTAGCCCTGGTTCAAGTAAAGATACAAAACATTGTCTTTGAAGTTCACGCCTTGCACTGAAAACTTAGGTAAAATATCTTCAGAACAAAATAGCTCTGCTAGTCTCGAAGCAAAACCGATTTCTGTGGCTTAACTGATCTCAGAGCCACAGTGCACACGGCTGTTCTCCCAGCGGGCCAAGCTCAGCGTGCAGGATTGGCCGTCACGACGCTCAGCCCTCGCCGGAGCTCCCCATGTGCAGTGTGGCCACAGATGCACAGGAAGGAAGACTCGTAAAAAAGAAAACCCCATCATCAATGTCGATTAGGACTAAGCAAGCAAACAAACAAAAAACGTGCTAGTAACCAAGTTAAGTCAAAATTAATCTATTCTAAGGGAAAATATATATAACCCAAATTCCAAGTAGTCAGCTGACATGCTCATCAGAAAGAGATTGATACTGATTTACTCACCCTAATATAATTAGCATTAATGTAGGTGCTCAAAGAATCAGTTACATTTTTTGGTCTTAAACACACTCTGCTGAGGGGATCTAATGAGGAAAACAAGAAAGAATACATTTAGCTGATATATATTTAGTGCATTTAACCACATTGAATACATTACTCTTTTTAAAGTTTCTTAGATCACCAACAAGCAGTACATAGTGCACCTGCTAACTTACATATTGACGGCTGACATGTGTCAGTGTGTGTTATAGTGTCTGTGTGTCCGTGTCTCGATGCATCTGTGTTTCTTGAGGGACATTTGGGTCCATCTTGATCCCTGTTCCTGATATAAATCTCACTCATAAGCCTGAGATGGTGAGTTTATACTTCCTGCCATTTTGTGTGTGTGTGGGTTCCTGATTCCTGACCCTCTTTCTCATTTGTGCTCCTTTTCTTGTTCTTTGTGTTTGGAATTTACACCACATCTCCCCGCTCGTCTCTTTTCGGTCCTGCCCAATGATAAACATTTGTTCTGACCCAAATCCCCTCTCACTACTGGGAAGAAGCTGTCTTCAGTGACCAGATGTTTGTTTAGTGACAGCACACCTATCTGAATAGATTATTATAGTGTCTTAAAGTCTAAAACCACTTTCCGTCAAGAAATTGAAGCGCTCTTTGTGAACTGTGCTGATATGGAAAATGTGGTAGTTATTTTTACCAACATTTACATAAGTGAATTATGATCAAATCATCCCTTTAGGGTTTCTTCAACCTGCTATATGTTGAGCCTCTTGAAGGCAAGAATGGAGAGTTTTTATTATCTCTATACAACCCGTCTAGCACAGTGCTTATATATATAGCAGACACTCAGTAAATAACTATGGTATTGATTTGAATGGCCCCTTGCATTTTCCAAAAAGATAGTTGTATGCATTCCTCTCTAGCAGTTGTTCTATTGATCTTCTTCTCCAAAAAGGCAAATTCTGAGAGTTTTTTATGTACCCACCATTCCTAACTCCTTATCTACAATTTAGTTCTTGTGTAGATTCCAACCTATCCTAATCTTAGTATTTTTCTGCAGACAGTTACTAAACCCAATGAGCCCATTGTGTGTGTTTTCAATGACCTCTCTGTGACATTCAAAAATAATGACCATATATCTTTTTTGAGTTCTCTCCTCCCTTGGTTTCTGGGTCACAACATTCTGATTTTCCTGCTAACTCTTCGATGGTCTGTTTTCAATCTCCTTTTTATTTAATCTGCACCCCGTTTTCTTTTCTTCTTTTTGGTGGTATGTGCCCCTAGCGGGAACCGAACCTGGGACTCTCTGGTCTGCAGGCTGACGCTCAACCACTGAGCCAAACTGGCCAGGGCAATCTGCACCCCCTTAATGTTGCTAATTCTAGGATTCAAGTTGGCCCTCTTCTATGATCATTTGACACTGCCTTGTTAGTTAATTCATTCCCATGACTTTATTATGCATATCCTGAAGACGCCAAAATGTTTATCTTAGACTACTTTCTTCAGTTATAGACATGTTTTTCTATTTCTTATTTCCTTCTGGATATACCACAAGTTTGTGAAATTCCACATCCCCAAGGTATTTTCACTATCCTTCTGTTATTCTTTGTTAGGTGTGCCACCCCAGCTCCAGAGTCCATGCAGGACAACTAGTTGTCCTTCTTGACCGGACCCTCCACATCCAATTACTTCTATGCTCTCTGTTCTATCTCCTGACATGCTCTGGGATCTATCTGTCCTCGCTCTTCCCATGGTTGTCTTCTTAGACTAGAACCTGAGATGCCATCTGGTCATATTGCTTTCAATCTTATTCTTCTCTGATCCATCCTTTTCATAGCTTGCAAGGTGGTCTTTATAAAACAAAATCTGACCACGTCATTCCCTTGCCTAGATGCCATCCCTGGATCCTAAATGCCACAGCAGTATTTCTCAAACTGTTATCTGTAAATCGTTTCTTCTGGAGCATATAGAATTAGGTCATAATTTATAAATGAAATTATCTTTAAAACAGAAGTTTCAGTAATCAAATAATATTGGAAACACTGAATTCAACAAAGTTGAACCGTGTTCTTCTTCTTACTGCAGGACTTTCTAGGTTCTTTATTATGCTCATGTATTTTGTAAATTTCCAAGATGATCTTACATATAAACTTATTTGTCCATTGAACTCATTTTATTATGAATACTTATTGACAGTTCAGACAGCCAAGAGCAGCATTACCCAATAGAACTTTCTGTGACAATAAAAATGTCTGTCTCTGTGCTGTCCAAAATTATAGCCACTAGCCATGTATGGCTATTGAGCCCTTGAAATGTGGTTAGTATGAACCGAAAAACAAAATTTAAATTTACAAAACCATATGTGGCTAGTGGTTGCTCTGCTAGACAGTGCAGGCGTAGTGGATGAAATCCAAGCACCTTAGCAGGTCCAGCAGGTCTATCTTTCCCTATTGCATCATCAATAGCCACTTGTTCACATGTGCCATATGCTCTCTTTACACAGACCTAGAGACATCTCCAAACCATTCCATGTTCTTGCAAATGATGGCCAGAACAAATAGGGTTCTTTAATTTTATCTATATTGTTTTATATTAGTATAAATACATTGACTGCATGAACAAAATATACAAAATATATATTATTATATGTCATTGTTGTACAAATAATTTCATATTAATATATGGTCAGTTTTCCCCCAATGCTTTTGTGATTTAGGATATAGACATAGCTTCATCACTAATTGTTTATGTTGTAAAATAATTTGATATAAATTTGACCTCAGCACTTTCATCTACCACTTAGTGTTCTGAGCTAGGCTGACACTGTCCTCAGAGAAGCAGCTGTAATTTAATTGGTTCTTGGCCATCCATATTTCTGCTGCAAAACATTCTCAAAATTATATAACCTCACTATTTATGCACAAGCTGACAAAGCTTCTAGAATTGAAAGTTTATTGCATATAAATGAACAAACAAAACAGAAACAAACTCATAGATACAGAGCACGTTTTGTTGGTTGCCAGAGCGGACGGATGTTGGGGACGGGGTGGAAAGGGTGAAGGGACTGAGAAGTACAGATTGGTAGTTGTCAGATAGCCATGGGGACGGAAAATGCAGCACAAAAAATATAGTCAATAATATTGCAACAACTATGTATGGTGCCAGGTAGGTACTAGAAATATCTAGGGGATGTCAAGTATAACAAAGTGTCTAACCACTATACTATACACCTGGAACTAATAGAAAATAATATTGCATGTAAAAAAAAAAGCTTACTGTAGATCAAAACAATAAAGACAATTAGAACATTTAAAATCTTGATCATTTGCTAACCATTTTTAATGTAATATTTCAAACTTATCTCATATTACAGTCTAAAATAAGCCATGAGGAACAACTTTGCATACCGGTCCTAGCCTTTTTCTGATGATTTTTCAGCCAATAATGTGGCTTGTCCAATTACTAAACTATATTTTGTGCAACAGCAGGGGTGGGGTGGTACTTGGGCGGCAGACATTTTGCACAGAAAACACATCACGTGCAGCGTCAGCTGCAGCACAGGTGCCCTGGCTCAAGCAGTCCACCTGGTTCTGGGGACAGAAAAGCTGACGCAGTTCTCCGCTGTCCTCCGGGCAGGAAACAGAGAAGGCTGGACTCTGACATAATCCTAATAATTGTCAACTCCTTCTGAGATTCCAGGGGTAAATATAATAACTGCAATGGATATCTGTGCCCTAGTTACTTATGTTTGGTAAATTTAAACGAAAACATCTTCAGAGAGACAGAGAGAGACAGCAGTCCTAACACAAAGCAGTTTCATCCCATTCAGCCAGTTATAGTCAAGAAATAATCTTGCACAGTGACTATACCTTAGGTACATATATTTAACTATATGGACCAATTAAAAATATGCTGTAGTAGAGTGACTTTAACAACGTGTCTCAAGTCCACCAGAAAGGGAAGCCCAAAGACACCATATTTCTTGCTATCACTATATATTTGAAAAATTTGTTGTCTTATGAGTGAGTTAATAGACTAAATTATGAAGACTCCACTATTTCAATGTCAATACTTAGAAAAAAAATCTTTGTGGTTCTATCTTTCCAGGGCTATTGCCATGAGATGTTGGTGGATTTTGCCAAAGTCCCAACTATGGCTGTTAGTTTAGTGATTGAAGTTCTACTTCTTCTCCAAAGTATTTCTGACACTCTAGTCAGGATTAATTACTCAGTCCTCTCCACAGTCCTACATCACTTGGACCAGATCACTATCTGGCTCATTACATTGAATGTAACTACTCATTTACATGTCTCTCCTCTCTAGTCCGTGACCACCTTGACCTTACAGACTGTTCCTTATTCCGTGCTAGCTCCTGGCATCCGGCTCATATCCTGGCACCGATAAATTTCATGGAGCTAAGTTTAGTTTTAACAGAGTCTACAGCAGGATTACACAAAGTGTGGTCCCGGTATCATCTGAATGAGAATCACCTGAGTGTTTGCCGAAAGTACAGCTCCCTGAGTCCCACAGCAGACCCACTCACGCAGAACCCCAGGGTGGAGCAAAGGGCTCTGGATTTTAAATGAAGAATCTAGGTAATTATTATGCAAAATTAAGTTTTTTGGTAACAGCTTTCTCGAGATATAATTCACATACCCTACAATTCACCTGTTTAAAGTGTGCCACCAGAGTTTATTTATTTTTATTCACAGAGTTTACAACCATCGCCACAATAAATTTTACATTTTCTGCCCCCTTCCCTTTTTATTGAATGTATTGGGCCTGACACTGGTTTAAAAAATTATACAGGTTTCAGGGACATAATTCCATAATATATCATCTGTACACCAAGTCAAGTCTCCATCCATCACTATTGATCTCCCCTTTATTATCTTCCCCCTTTCCCGCCTCCCCCTGGAAATCACCACACTGTTGTCCTCGTCCATGAGTTACAATATTTTCTTTATTCTAAAAATCAACTCCCTGCCTTTTAGCAGTCATTTCCCATGCCTCTCAACACTAGGCAGTCATCAATGTAGTTTCTGTCTCCATAGATTTTCCTACCTAGACACTTCATATAAATGAAATTATACAATATAAGGTCATTTGTGATGACTTCTTTCACTTAGCATAATGTTTTCAAGGTTCATCCGTGTTGTAGCATGTATCATTAGTACCTCATTCTTTTTTATTGCTGAATAATTCTGTTGTGTGGATACACTGCATTTTATTTATCCATTCACCAGTTGATGAACATTTTGGTTGCTTCCACTTTGGGGGCTATTAAGAATAATGCTTTTAAAAAGTTTGTGTACAGCTTTTGTGTGGACACATGTTTTCATTTCTTTTGGGTATATACCTAAGATTAGGATGTCTGAGTCATACAGTAACTCTTGGCTTTACCTTTTGAGAAACTAGCAGACTGTTTCCTAAGTAGTTGCATTATTTTACATCCTTACCAGGAATGTATGAAGGTTCCAGTTTCTCTACATCCTTGCCAAAACTTTCTGTAGTCTATCTTTCTCTCATAATCGTGAGGAGGTGAAGTGGCACAACACAATTTTAGATCTATGTATGTACTGGAACTGTGAGCTCACCATTATTATAAGAGCAATACAAGATAAAGTTATTAACCTTAGACCATTTTAAAGATTATTAGTCTTGATTTGTGTTTGCAACTCTAAATTTGGTGTGTCTGTGGAAGCTGTGATGTGGAATGGTGAGCTGGGGGTAAATGGGGAAAGGCTGTACTTTGCCATGCAAACTATTTAATTCAAGGAACTTACTTGGCAAAATGGTCTTATAGCGATTTTTAGTCCCATGACGTGGAATGTCAATTTCTTTGGGATCCACAAAGTTCATTGGTATTTCCTGCAAAAATGAATGATATCAAATTAGTGCATCTAATGCTTCCACAAAGAAAATCTGCACAGGGGGCATCTGCTCCAAAGCTCTGCTGGACTTCAAAGTCATTCATAAACAACCTCTGGCTTTAACCACCCCTTCCTTTCATAAACATATCAGCGGCACCCTGGCAAGCTGACTCTGAGAAACAGTTCTCTGCGTTATATGTGGTTATTAAAAATCACATAAAACTTTGGTTCAATTTTAAGAACCCTGTTCTGAATAATGGCTGAAAATATATAAACAGGAAGCTGAAAACTGATATTTTAACAACGCGTTCCTATTTCTTCAACCTTTATGGAAGTTCAGCACCCAAAATTTCTCTCTGATGAATTCTTTTTTCAACATTAACTGGGCCTCTTTTAAGATTATTAAAATCTCCCTCCCTGAATGGTCAATATAAGGGCTTTTTATTTTTGTCGATTCAAGTGATGGCAGCGTGATGCCTTCTTCTGTATTAAAGAATGGCCTGTGATTGTACTGCTTCTATTGTGGTTGCAAAGGAAATATTTTTAGTGAAGGACAGCCAGGCACTGTTTCCTCCCACTTACCAAGAATATAAATATTCTTATTCAGTCAGAATGTATGTCATGTGCCTTAAATAACGGGCGAGGGAACAAGTAGAGCAGAAGCAGCCCCGAGGAAATGCATTAGACCCAAAGGGGAGCCTCTGCAGCCGGCGGGCAAGAAGGCCAATACGCCCGCCTTCAAAAGGGCTGAAACAAATACTTACGCATTTGATTATACAAAATACCGTATTTGCTAACTGAAAATTCCACAAAGGATTGCTAAGGTAAGGCTAAGTGAAATACAATAACATTCATCTCTAGATCACATAAAATAGTATTTTTTATTTAAACTTTCTTCCCTGAAAACTATAACTCAAAAGCCTAATATTCATTGAAATAAAATAAATTATCTATAAATTAATTCAAATCATTCTAGTTTTCAGTCAAGCTAAAAAGTTGAGAAAAGCCTAACTATATTATGAATTTGAGACTTGGTCTACAAAGAAGAGTAGCATACTTTTTAAAAAATATGTTTTTATTGATTTTTTAGAGAGAGAAAGATAGAAACATGGATGGGAGAGGGAAACAGCTCTCAGCTGCCTCCTGCACGCCCCTTACTGGGGATCGAGCCCACAACCTGGGCATGTGTCCTGACCAGGAATCAAACCAGGACCTCTCAGTCCAAGGGAGGATGCTTAATCTACTGAGCCACACTGGCTGGGCAGAGTAGCATACTTTTGAAATATCATTTCCTAAACTTGCATTATTCTAGATATTTATAATATTCACCCCCATTCTCTGCTCTAACTAAATGATAAAATTCTCAGTCCAAGTTACCAACAATAAGCAACATTGTTGAATAGTCAGTAGAAACCAGATATTCATGTTCAGTGATTTCAAAGAGGTCAGTCTGTTTCGGCAAGGCCACGGAATAGGTGGTATCTTTATTCCTCCCATGCTCTTTCCTGTTTTCTGATCTACAATGACAATTTGTCATCTTCCAGCATCATCTCTCTCCTTGGTACTCCTTGTTGGCCCCATCTTTCCTTTAAGGAAATCAGGCTATATTAAGAGCTTATCATAAAGAACAAAGATTATCTGTGATTCTAGAAAAGAATAATGGGTATACCTTTGGCTAGTTGTGCGATCACTGACTGGATGCTTTATTTCACTGAGTCTCATTTTCTTCATATATAAAAATATGACACTGCAAAGTCTACTTTAAAAAAAACCTGCATGTCTGTGTTTTATTTTAAACACTCAATGATCATCGATGAGGCTAATAGCAGATCCGACCCATTGCTGGAGCTTTCGTCGTTAGAGTAATTGTGAATATCTGAACTGGCCCTAGAACGATCAATGTATCATTCTCAACCGTTATGGTTGAAGATGTATGACTGATTCAAGGTGCAAAGTGATCTATAAAATGGATATTCCCCTTCGGCAACAATTAGACCAGAGAAGGTCTAATCTGTCTACATGCTGTCAGAGTAGACACGTGTTTTCATGAATTAAATTAACACTGGCAACACTGATGAGTCACCATCATTTTGAGCTGCAACTCACAATCATTTTGATCCCACATTTGATCTCCTGTGTTTCTTAGTTCACTAAAGAGCACCCTATTGCCCAAGTTACAAAATTGGGGTATTACCCCTGACTTCCCCAAACTGACAGCAACACTGCTCCTTCTTCCTGGAATGCTCTTCTCCGCCCAGCTCCTCTGGCCACTCCTTTGCCTGGCCGTCTCCCAGGCAGTCTGCCTCAGCTGAGTTATCTGAGTTATCACATTCTACCTTGAACACGTCAACAGTTGACAAGTGGCAGGGTGAATCTAAAACGCTTGCACTTAACCTTTGAACTGTAACCGTTTTTATTGTTCAGTGGAGGGTTGTGCCATTTTAGTATGTGCCCCTAGTGCCCAGTTCATCAAAATACCCAGTGAAGGGTGAATAATAACAAGCTCACCATGAATTCACTTTGGAGTAAATGTGAACTTGCCACGACTTCCCTCAGCTGTGATCTCGTGAGAATTCGGCTGGCTGACTGCAGATACTCCATTGCAACCTTCTCCCGTGGGGTTGGTATAGCCACAAAGGGTTCGACATTCCCCAGGCTACTCATGTCCAGTGTAAGAGATACGTTGGAGCCTCTCCTATATTGGAGAAGAATGTTATTAGGTTTAAGCACCACATGAATGATTTTGATTGCACAAAATGGTCTTTCTGTACATACACACAATTCAGTAAACACTTTTACAGAAATAAGGACCATGTATCTTTTTCTCTTATGGTACCATAGTTGAGTATAGCAACTATCCAGTTTCATTACAGGGAACTGACAATTTTATTGTTGGAAATAACTTTAAATTGAGAAAATGTACTATAATTTATTAATGAATATAATTGTTACAGAGATTATAGGATCATATTAGTTGGCTAATCATACTAATAGGCTAATCATATTAAGTAAAAATTTTAAGAAAAGTAAACATCACATTTGAATTGAGGAATCAGATATAACACAAAACAACTTTAGTTATATGTATGCCTGAGAATCTAGTTTATAAGTCATATAACTATCTAATATTTTTGACATAAATATTCTGTAGTCGTGATTTTACTGAACATAGGAAGCTCTGAGGGGAAAAAGAAAACAATCACTTTATTTTAGTTCAAATTATTTCCATTGAAATACAATTTAAAGGTTTAAAAATGTATATATTTTTATACCTTCTGAGTGAACCCCTAAAAGATAGCATCTGCATTCTCCATTTATGCATGTATATGTGATTATATGTGCACATGTATGTATTTTATTTAATTCTGTGATATACTCATAAGGGACCACAGAGATCACAGACCCTTATTCTGAGTTACAGTATTTCTTCCCTCTGTATTTTCCTTCCTTTTGTTGGGAAGTGAGGTAGGGCTCTTCCAGCTTATAATGACCCCTTGTGTCTTGGATAGAAGGTGTGAGTGCCTCTTACCAGAACCATTAGCTGTGTGGAACCAAGGAGTAACTATAAAATAGCATGTACAGCCCTGACCGGTTTGGCTCAGTAGTTAGAGAGTCGGCCCTTGGACCAAAGAGTCCTGGGTTTGATTCCGGCCAAGGGCACGTACCTTGGTTGCGGTTTATCCCCGGCTCTGGCTGGGGTTGTGTGGCTGGCAACCATTCAATGTGACTCTCTCACATCGATGTTTCTTTCTCTCGTCTCTTCTTCTCTCCCTCCCTTCCTTCTTCCTGCTCTATCTGAAGATAAATGAAAAAATATCTTCAGGTGAGGATTAAAAATAAGTAAATAAAATAAAATAGCATGTACAAGACTGAGGGGCCTTAGGTACATGTCAAGTGATTAAACATGGTGCCAAGTGGTTGGTGTCCCAAGGAAATGGAAAGTAGGGTTAAATAGGGCAAAATAAATGGGAGTCAAGACAGTAAGAGTAGATGCTAGGCCCAGCACATTATTTCCTTCAATTATATTTTACATATTTATTATGAAGTACTACATCAGAAAATATTCAAGTGGTTAGAGTTTAATTTTAAGCAATGGGAAATTATTAGGACATACAACAAAAAAAACCATTAAACAAAAGCTTATCAGTTCCTTTCTCCTATGTGTCTGCCTCTAGTTGCAGCTTTGGTGCCATTCTATAATTTGATGTGTGATGTTGTCATTTTTGTTAATTTCTAAATGTTTGTAGTTGTGGTTTTAATTACTGCTTTTACCTGATGGTTATTTAAGTGTTTGTACTTACTTTTTTCCTACTGGATTTGCCAAAGCCTGAGATATATATATCTGTGAGTCTTTCACAATAATTGTGTTTGTTATTTTCCTTTGTATTTCTATTAGTTTTGACTTTATATATATTAGATGTTATATTTCTTGAAGAGATTCATAATTATATTTTTACTGTAAATTTTTATCAATATTAAATACTTTCTCATTTATTTTATGACTAACCTCACATCTGACTTTTGAAAACATTAATATTAACATATCTGCTTTTTGTGGCATGTGCTTAAACAAAACCTTTTCTAGTTCCTATTATTATTTTTAAGTCCTTTGGATCACTGCATTTGGGTTATTGGACAGTATTCCGGATACGTACTCATATAATATTACTTACCTGTTAGAGGGATGTTTCCCCCTTCCGTGTGTATGTGTGTGTGTGTGTGTGTGTGTGTGTGTGTGTGTATTGGTGGTGGTGGTGAGTGACAGAGTTTCTGTATTTCTAGGTAAAAGGTAAACAGTTGAAGAGGAGCAAAGAGTGGTTCTGCTTTAAGGTAGAGAATTTTAATCTATTTTTAGTAGTAAAGCAGTTTTTACAGTCCAGTTCTTCCGGCCTTTAAACTGGCAGAACTTTCTTGTTGATTCTAAAAATAGGTTGTCTATTGATCTTAGTTTTTAGCATATTTGCGTGAATTAGAATTTGCTGGTTTCACGGGTATTTTAGCAAGGAGTTAGTAAGGTATTTTAGTAAGGGATTGCTAAGCACACACCACTGTAAATCATTATTCAGTCAATTTTCAGTTCTCAAAGACAAAAGTGTCTGCATTCTGTCAACTGAATGATACCCAGAGCAGCAGCGGTTAGTAGAAGGTGAGGTCTGGTCCCTGCAGAGCACATGTATGAAGGGGGAGGCATTTGAGTTGGGCCTTGAAATGTCCAATGGGTACATTTTGGGTTGAGGGTTATTTCAGAGAGAGAACCTGGCAAGAGAAAAAGTATGAGAACAGGAAATGATAAGACATCTTTGAGAAATGGCATTTAAGCAGTTCTTGGAATTGGGGGGCATGGTTATGTAGGAGAGATGAGGGCGAGGCAAGAATCTCAGAAAATGCAAGACTATAAAAAGTCTGCTCAAATCCAGAAAAGAGAGAATTCAGAACACCAGGTTAATTCAACATCTGTTTTGAATTCCCACAGCATACCCAGCCCAAACCTGGGATTAAAAGCCTTTGAGACCCATGCTTAAGGTGCTTTGACCCGGTGAGTAAATTTTCTGTGGATTCTGCAATCAACTGGGAACCATGAAAGCATTTTCATGCCAACTAACTTACTAAAGGAAGAATGACTTTAGTCTGGCAAGAGAAGGAAGGAAACTAGTATTTATTAAACACCCATGATCCGCCAAGCACCTGTTCTAAGCGCTTTCACATACGGCATCTCAATCTGCCCAGCAGCTCTCCGAGGTCTCACTTTCACCCACTTCACAGGTGAAGAAAGAACCAATTTAGGAACACCATAGCACAGCAAAGGTTCAATCTAACTCAGAGTGTAGAACCCCGGGTCTGTTTGCTTTGTCACCCCGAAGCAAGAGTAGGGGGTGCAGATTATGTTAGACTGTACAGTTCCCTCCGTGGACTTGAAGCCAGTTGTTGGGAGGAAGGTCAAGATTACTGAGGTGTAATGTGGAGGCAATCCAGCATTCAGGGGTAAAAATACATTTACAGTCACATTTGTCTGGGCCCAAACCCTGCCGTTCCCTTGTCCCTGTGGTGGACCTTCGGTCAGGCTACTTGGCCTTTTTGTTTTATCTCAATTTCCTCCTCTTTTGTAAAATAAATAATTAAGTGTACTTACTTACTCCACAGAGTTAGTACAAGGATTAACCAGGTAGTGTAAGTAAATTACTTATAAAAAGCTATGCTTATTATTAAATTCAAACAAGAATGAATCAAGTCCTGCATAACTCTCACCTGCTTCTCTAAGGGATCTTTATAAAAACTTGAAAATCATGGACACTGAGAATAACTTTAACATTTGGAAATCAAGAATCTACACATTTGTCACTAAAAAAAAAAAATCCTTTTTGATTACCTCTTTACTTAAAATTCCTCTTTATTATGGCAAATCCATTTCCTCTGAACCCCAATCAATTCCAGAGCAGTTCACCTCTACACCTCAGACAATGTCTCAACATTCAATTATTTTGTTTGTTAATCCTCAACCAAGGATATTTTTTCATTGATTTTTAGATAGAGTGGGAGGGATAGAAGGAGAGAGAGAGGAACATCGACGTGAGAGGGACACATCGATTGAGGGTCTCCTGCATGATCCTGACCAGGGCTGGGGATCAAACCCAAAACCCAGGCACTTTCCTTGATCATAACTGAACCCTCGACTCTTATGGTCCCCGGGCTGATGCTCTAACCACTGAGCAAAACTGGTCAAGGCTTGAGGTTCAGTTATGAAGTTAAACTGGCACAGGCTTAACACAGAGAGCATCTTCCAACAAACAGCCCTTGTCATGGTAAGTACTCTGCTGTCCTGGCTGAGAGATATTCCCACAGCATGTCATTACCTTGGAAAATCACTGCTTTCGTTCATTCTGATTTTCAAGGAGCAAACAATATTTAGGTTTACTGAAATATGGTGGAATTAGGAAACTGTATCAGCAAAATCAACTTCAAGTGTGAAAACTTCTTAGTCATGTCTTATGCTCAGAGAGAAAAGGTTAAATACATATCCATATATATTTTAAAATGTTATTTTTTCATTATAAAAACAACATGTTTATTGTAGAAAATTTGTATAATTTAAAAGTTTTTTAAAAAAAGGAATTAAAATCACTCAATCACATATACTTCACTAGCATTTAAACTGACTTAACATTTTGCTTTTTCATAGGCAGTCATGGTAGTTTGTGATCTACTGTTTTAATTTCTCTTTCTTTGGTTAGAGAAAAATACATTTTCATATGACTTTGTTCATTTATTGACCCTTTGAGAATTGTCTGTGCTCTTTAAAAAAATATATTTTTTTTTCTTTATTGATTTTGGGGAGAGAGGGAGAGGGAGAGAGAGAAAAACATCGATGAGAGAGAACATCAATTGGCCGCCTCCTGCATGCCTCACACTGGGGATTGGGCCCACAACCTGGGCATGTGCCCTGACCGGGAATTGAACCGGTGACCTTTTGGTGAATGCATCGACACTCAGCCACTGAGCCACACTGGCCAGGTCTGTTCATGCTCCTTCTTAATGTTTATATTATGAATTAATGTATTTATTATTATTATATATAAGATAGTAATTATTTCCCGAACATACCTATTATAAATACATAGTTTATTGTTGCCTTAAAATACTAAGGATTTTTTAAAAATTATATTTATATTCAGTTAAACATATTAATCTTTTCTTATG